ACCGAAGAAGTACGTTTAACGGCCGGGGTGAGTATTGCTTTAAAAACAAAATCTAATTTTCGGTTTGTGTTTTACGATACAAATATAAATAATTGGTTTACAAACGTGTTATCTCACACAAAACAAAAATCCACGGAAAAATCTCATTAAACGTTCATTAGATATTGCACGGAACATTGTGAACGTCTAATGGACGTTCAACGAGTTTTTGTTCCGTGTGGGTAGTTTTGACGCTGACAACATCAATACTATAATTAGCGAAAATTAGTCAATGTTGAAACGAATTCACGTCACGCGATGCATCATACGTCTGATATGTCGAACATCTGTTGAATTGGAGCAAATCGTTTGTCACGATGACACTATGTATTTGATGAACTGTCACGTAAAGCACGCGGACATCAAATATCTTTGAGTAACTGTCCAAAAGACAAACTATGACGCATAAGTCTCAATAATAACGCATAAGTCTTAATACCGTAGTAACACGCGCGATCTCTCTAATTCGGGAACGTACACGTGATTGAGAAAAAATGTTATCGCGCAATTATTATCAAATATATTTCACACAAACAAGGTTTTTGAAACATTTGATAATTCAAAAAAGCTACACGCGACAGAGATATATAATTCAATGTAGGAATGAATTATACGAGAACTCTCTTTTGGTCGCGTGCTTTCTACTTGTCACGTTCTCTTACGTGTTCGACAACGTCCTTGACAACGGAGCATATTTTTTAACATGTCGCGTCGGAAAAATCCGGGACCGCTGCGATCGAGATAGAGAGAGAGACGAGCTACGTGACAGAGGTAGATGGAATATCTGGTCCGCTGCCAAACTCTGCAGTCTCTACACACAGCCATTTCGAGCGCTCCCGCGTTTTCGCGCGCAACCGTTCTCTTCCTTTTTGTCCATCGCTTGTCTCTCGATTTTTTTTTTTTTTTTGATTTTTTTTTTTTTGATTTTCTTTCTCTTACTTCGTCTTTCTTCGCGCGATGCTTCGTGTGAGGGATGCGTGTTTCGTCGGCGTGTTTCATGTTTCTCGGAATAAAGCGATGGCGCGCATCGCGCGACTGCGCGGATCTTAAATATCTCATTCTACAACCCTCTAATAGGTTTAGCTCAATTAATCGCGCGATATCTGTCCGCTAAATATCCGGCATATAATTAGTAAAAGAGATGAACGTTTGATCTTAATTTATCGTCTGTGCGCGGCGCGATATGAGGTGTAATAAGCAAATCGTGTTTGCACAAGGTAGCACAAATTGAAGTTCAAAGCGAACTTGACAATATAAATTACGACTTTGCCGCGTCGCTGTCCGGATTGTTTCTGTGTGGGCTTCGCGATCGCAATCAATAATTTCAAATTTACATCATCGATCAAATCTATAAAACAGATTATATAAAAAATTCGAGATATAAAAAAAAAAACCAAAATCTTCAACTTCTCGAAAACTTATTTTTAATGCAGAACGTCGGGGACAAAGTCCGCGACGGGAGTTTTACGTGGGGAGCGATCGTGGACCTCGCGTTGGTGGTTGGTTTTTATTCCCGGGCTATTTTTGTCCACCTTTCACGCCGTGCAGCTTCAACAACGACCAGATGCGTTTATCGGTCGTCAGTGAGTTATACGAGCGATCGCGAATCCCGAGCGTGCAAAATGCGCACGTCTGGCGCCTCGTCGAGAGAAACGCGAAGAAATCGTACGTAATTTTTATTTCGAGAGAAAACGAACGAGAGACAAAAGGGTGAAGTAATCTGAACGATTGACGTTTAATTTTAAACGATCGAACGTTTATTTTTGGGCTATTTCCTACAATCAAAATCCATAGAGCAGCCAATTCTCCTTCACTGATTGACACGAAGATTGCTTTCTTTTAGATCTTCGAGTGTTTCTGCTGTTTTTATGAAGAGAACGGTGAATGAAAAATTATATATTTGTTTAAACTTGAATACAAACGTTGAGAAGTATATTTCTTTCAAGTCCAATTTCTTTTAAGTTCAACGTTTCCAAGATTCATTAGAATTGCATTAGACAGTGCAACAATGAACGAACGTCGTTCGTTCATTGTAAATTAATACATCGGCCTTGTGGACTGTCTCGACCGCGATTTACTCAACAGAGAGTCCTCTCCGAGAAAGCTAACGGTCATCGTAAATCAACCGGGAACGAGCGCGGAACAAAACGTTTGACGCGCCGTTCCGGCCCGTTAAGGGGGTCTCGCGGAAAATTGCAAGCGCATAAAAATATGCAAACTGCTCGCGTTCTGAACATTTCGAAGCGCGCGTACATTTTTCCGCCGCTGCCAACCGACTGGCACCGGAATGAACGTTTAAGTTTAAACGTCCGTCGCTCGTTCACATCGTTTTTCATTGTCGGGATTTGATCGCGCTCATCCTCGACATTGCCAACAATGCGTCCGCCGCAATTGTTTATGAGGGAAGGGTTTAAACCATCCAGGCAAACCGCCTCTTGTTCTTTTTCAAATCAACATCGTGTCAAGAATCTCGCGATTTATTATTGCCGGAGTTTTCTCGCATCTCTGAGAGATGTGTTTAAAATCGGACTTTGTTTTTGTCGAAGATCGAAGATTGTCGCAAGCAATTGTTGCAGAATATCTCTTACAGTTAATCGAAAAATAAAAATAAAAGGCACTTAGAAAGGCACTCGTTGCCAAAAACGCGCATAATTAATTACTTTATTTTATTTCCTTTTGTATTTAAGTTAAATTTTTTTTTTTTTTTTGTTCTTTTTATCGTTTGTTTTGCTGTACTATTTGTTTTACATTTGCGCGGAGTCGATGTCCGTAGCGTTCGACGTCCAAAAGCGTCGATATCGCGATAAATTTAACCATCCCGAACTCCGACAGCACGTTTACGTCTGATTCACATTTACAAGAATAGCGAATAGTTGCACCGTTTTCGCACGAGAGATACTTCATCAAAACGTTTCGAACATCACATTCACCGAAAAACCGAATGATGCGCACATGGTCGACTATTGCCTAACGATGAAATATTTCGACCGGGAATTATATACGAGGCGAAGTAATATCTTGCGCGTCACGGCGCAGCCAAAACCGGCGCATCCGTCTTATTCATCGTTCTTCTAAAGTTTTGAACGTAATCGCGCGCGTCGCGGCCAGATAAGTCGAGCGCCATCAATTACACCCCGACTTGATGTGCATCGCATTAAATAAAATCTATTTGTTCAATCATCGCGCCAAGTTATTTATCACCGAAGAGAAGTTATTTACTGCCGAAGAGAGAATTGATATAACGATTGTGACGCGCCTCAAACGTAAATCATTCTCTTTCTCACACTATTTTTGCCGGAATTCGAGACTGAAGTCTCGCGGTCATGTAGTCTCCTCTTCTTCTAAAACATTTAAAGTGATATTACAGTTTTTACATATTTCATTAATAAAAAAATTTTTTTTTCTTACAACAAATTTTCAATAATTGCTTCAGTTAATTCCGAAGATCGAGAAACAGCGCTTCCCCGTCCTACTTGCCACCGCAGATTCGATATTATTCGATTCGCGGGAAATCCCCGTGTGGATTTGAAAAAACTCCCTCGAGCGTTTTTCCAAACGTCGAAAACGCGAGTGCGCTGCGCCGACTTCACAAAGATCCGGGGTCTGTGTAACTCCGTTCTAAAGATGTGTTGGAGAAGTGTAAGAAGGGTAGGCTATTTCTGGTCGTGGGAGCCGAGAGAGACCGGCCGTGCAAACGGCTCTTAGCTACTTCGTACACCGAGAGTAGTCTCGCTTTCGCCGCGTATCGCCGATACACTCTTTTCGGGAGGGCGCATCTCGCGAAGAGAGATCAACGATGTGACCGTTGTGAAGTGAAGTGAGGAACGGTTCCAGTCAGACGGTGATCGGTACGAGCGTGAATCTATCTTGTGTCGTTCGAACAAAAATTAAACGGGGAAATCTGCATCTGTTCGATCGGAAAATCGAACGACATTACTCCGTCGAGTTGCAACGAAGACAAACTTCTTTGCCAACAGAAAAAAAAGCAATTTTTTCTTTTTATTCTGAAAAAAAAAATTAAAAAATGTGATACTTGCGCCAGATAAATGTTTTTTCATACATTTTTTTTTTTTTAGAGTATACTCTAACGAAATCAAGAAAATCTCTGAACGAATGTTAAAATAAGTGACTGTTAATTTTTCTTACACAAAAGTTTTTCTCTTTCTCGTAAGTTTTACAAATCGAAGATACTGAATAATAACGACGCGAGAAAAAAAAATCAAGCTGCATTTTGTACGGAATAATGATCTATAAGAGAAATTTCTTTCAAAATTTGTAAATATGAAAGATAATTGAATAATACAAGTGTCAAAACTACTACTGCGAAATTAATGTGATCTTAGTGTGCGTAGACGGTCATGTGACGGGAAATATTAAGCAACTCCGAAAATGAAATGTCAAATGGCAAGATATGTTGGAAATGTTAAATGACAGACTTAAGAGAGAGAGAGAACGTAAATAATTTTAAAGACGTTCGCGAACTGTAAAGTGAATCTTCTGACATAAAAAAGAAACTTACAAACTTTAGTTGAATAAACATTATTTTAAAAAAATTATCAAAAGCTTTTTCAACAGGCTACAAAAATTAAGACGGATTAATTGTTTCAATAGAGCGATTAAAAAAAAAATGTAAAAATTTAACTTAAAAACATCTTATTACGAGTGAGAAGAAGATGCGAAAAATTTTTACCAAATCGTGACACGTGTGTTACATTGTAACAAATGGAATCGAAGAGAGACGTCGAGACGACGACGGACGATAGCGCGGCGGAGGCGAGACAACGTCGCGTGCGAATGATCGAAAGCGCGAACTCGTAATTCTCGTCGTCGGGATGCCAAGTTCCAAGCCTTGATGTCCATTTATCCGCGTCGTCGACATAACGGTTTCATTGTCAACGCGAGTGAAAACAAAGCTATTGGACATTGATCCTGAAGAAGGAGACGGTGTGTGAATTAATCACAAAGTTTAGTGAAAACGTAAAATGAAATCGCGACACGTCTCTCAAACTACACCTGACTCAGGAAAATATCGCGAACAATTCAAATAAATCTGGATTGCTTCTGACATCTGCGCTTATCTCGATCGCATTCGATCGAGATCAATCAACTTTAGTCGAATCTAGAAAGTAGCGGTAGAAAAAGGGAACGAAAAAAATTTGGAAGGTCTAAACTTTTACAGCACCTCGATGCAGCACAATCTTGTCTGATAGAGTAATAAAATCATCCAATCGATTCTGAAGTCGACTCAACGACAAACTGTCATTCGTCGTTGCGTATTGAAGCGTGAATATTAGAATCTCATCAAGATCGGATCGAATGATCATTTCGAAAGGAGACAATGTCCTTCTGCAGGATCACGGGTAGAAGCCGGGGTCTCCCCAGGCCGAATTACTTTCCGCTGCTCCCGCCCATCAGTCCAGCGGACGCGAAGCGCTTCTGTCGCATCACCGGCAAGTCCTACGGTCTGCCGACGCATCATTACATTCCGGTGTTGCTCGGCGCGCGCGTGCACGACAAAACGAAATGCAAGATAACGACGAACGCGTCTGGTCAGGGACCGCACCACTACACCGCCGGTCTGATTATCGGAGAAAAAAAGAGGCACGTGGTGCTCAAGGACTATCGATACGTATTTCCGATTTTGGAAGGCGAGGGCGAGCAGCAGCGCGCTTTGCGAGATCTTCTGAGCACGAAGCAAACTCCGATAGAGGAGGAGGAAAAATTCGTATACACGGTGGAAGAGCGAAGATGCAGTCTTGTGTTCCCGGCAAAGTTGGAGGCCGCCGTAAGGGACGGGGATGTCAAGGATGTCATGCTTTCGCGGGACTGCGACACCGTTTTGCTCAGATTGAAACAAGGAAAAAACGTGTCCGTGGACTTCAAGAATCTGGAAGACTTTGAGAATCTCTACGACGGTCTGGGACCTCGGGAAGAGGTGTTGAAGGAGCGAGAGAAACAGGAGGCTGAGGCGAGGAAGCGAAAACGAAAAAGACAGACTGCGTTGAATTACGCAAAGAAAATTTTCGAGGAGAAGGAGCGAGCAGAGGATGAGGAAGAATTGCGACGCACCAAACAGCTGAAGCTGCGAAGCATCAAGGAGGAAATCAATAAGGAAACCGCACAGGATTGGAATCACGTGGACATGAATCAGGCGAGAAGAAAATCTTCCGACATCGTGAACATCTCCAACACTATCAAAAACGCCGGGAAACCTGTTTCCAATGTACTAGATTGGAATTCGTTTCCGAACAATGCGAATAAATCGGTGGGCATGCCGGTAATCGAGGAGATGCCAGTTCCTGTGATTGCCGAGCCACAAATTATCGATCGAGAACCAGTTCTGTACAGTCCCGCGTCCGAGTCCGTAGGAGGTTTCGAAGCTATTGCGATCGCGAAGCCGTTGACACCTCTGATCGCGAAACCCGATTCGGCATTACAAAGCGCCATTCAGAACATATCCTACGATAATCTGAAGGAAAGCGCAGACGTCACGGAGAAGCTGCTGCGGGCCGGAGAAAAAGCGCTGGATTGTCTGCCCAAGATGGAAGAGGTTTCCGAGCTAGTGCGAAGTTTGCCATCCGGTAAGAAGACCACGATGCACAACATCAAGGGTCTCAAGTTGGACATCAAGTCGGCGGAGAGATTCGTCACCGGTCAAACGATACAAACACCGTCTGGCGAAGTTTTCGTACCTGGACAGACTCTGACAACTCCTCAAGGTCCTGCTTTCGTTCCTGGACTGACGCTCAATACGCCTGACGGTCCTCTTCTGATTCCTGGACAGATTGTTACTGTGAATGAAACGGACGGTGCGAAAACACCGGTGTTTATCGCCGGTCAGACTCTGATGACCGAGCGGGGCGAGTGCTTTGTTCAAGGTCAAACGTTTCACACGAGCGAGGGCAGCAAGTTCGTCGAAGGTCAAACAGTCCTGACGGAAAACGGTCCGAAATTCGTAGCTGGTCATGTAACTACTGATAGAACTTTTATTGCTGGCCAAAGTATAGTCACTCCGGACGGAATTCGTTTTATGGCGGGTCAAACTGTCACAGATTATCACGGCGAACCGGTCTTCGTACCAGGACAGAACGTGAAAATCAACGACAATTACGAATTCGTTCCGGGTCAATCTATCGAGTCGCCTAACAACGAAATCAAGTTCGTTCCTGGACAAACACTTCTGACGACCGAAGGTTTACAATTCGTCCCGGGGCAGTACGTGACCACAAAATCAAACGAGAAGCACTTTGTACCCGGCGTCATCAGAGAAATCGAGGATACTTCAACATTCGTGCCAGGAATGACTCTGGACACTCCGAAAGGACAGAAGTTCGTCGAAGGTCAAGTGTTGAAAACGCCCGAAGGCATGTTCTTCTGTCCCGGACGAACTGTCGTCACCGAGAAAGGCTTTGAGTTCGTCGCGGCTACCAAGTTCGACGAGGTAGTTTTCCAGGAAGCTGGTCCGGTCGGTATACCAGTGGATTCTAAGACTGCAATATCGATTCTTCAGCAGCGCGAGGTCTTTGGTCATATGGTGCAAACGGAGAAAGGCATTGAATTCTTTCCGGAGAACGTGAAGAATTTGCCAGAAGGAAGAAGGATTGTGCCAGGTCAATTGGTCAGTGGAGATAAAGATGGACCGCGCTTTGTTCCGGGTGTTATGACGGAAGACGGTTTCTTGCCGGGTCAGATAGTTACAACGGAAAAAGGAGAAGAGTTCGTGCCGGGTCAGGTAATCGACACCAGCAGCGGACCCAAATTCGTGCCGGGACAGATAGTAGAAACCCGCGCCGGGCCCAAATTTGTGCCCGGTCAAACAATCGATACTGCGGACGGACCGCGTTTCGTACCCGGTCAGATTGTTGAGACCAAAGTGGGACCTACGTTCATTCCCGGTCAAGTAATCTATACCGAAGAAGAGGGTTCCAGATTTGTTCCGGGACAAGTAGTGGACACACCGGATGGACCGAGATTTGTGCCAGGTCGCGTGGTGGAAGCTGGCGAGATGGGTGTGACTTTCGTTCCAGGCCAAATCGTACAGACGGAAGAAGGACCTTGTTTTGTCGCTCCGGATCTTATTGACACACCTGAGGGCGAACTGGAATTTTCCGTGCAGGGCTTTGAAGTTACGCCCGAGGAGCTGCGTTTGTTGCGACCGCAGCATCTAAACTACAATCCACGTTTTCGTCATCGCGGCGAGACCAGCATAGACGCAAAGATGCTGCGTGAATTGTCAGAGGCGGGACTATCAGTTGGACGGAAAGTCTCCACGAGTCTGCCGGCGGTAGACGTAGATGTAGATCCAAAAGCGGTGGCCTTGGAACAGGCTCTTGCTGTGGCAACAACAAAATTAGGTCTTCAAGGTGGCACGGCGGTAAAAATGGCGCAAGTGGTGTCTACAGTCGTGCAATTGGCGAAAAATATATTTTTACAGCAGCAGCAACGAGATGCAAATTCTGAAAACGCAACGGCGATGTTAACTAACGGCTTCCAGTCTTCTGTTGCAGGAAAAGTTGAAGAAAACAAGTCAAACAATGACGGTAACGATGAATCTCTTCGGGATACGTTAAAATCAGCTATCGCGGCAGCTGTTTTGACGATATCGAATGAGCGGCAGAAAGACGAGACTTCTCAAGATTTCATTTATTCTTCTATCAGCGAATCCTTCGACGTTCTACTGCGTCAGAACGATAAGGACGTCGAACGGTCAGTGGACGAAGTTCTAAGGATTTTGTTAATCCCGCAGAATCGCAGTTCTTTCTGCCAAAGCGTGCTCTCAGAATTGTTAGACATCAAAAACAGCAAGGTGGACATATTGAAATCTACGGTAACTTCTGGTCAGTCCTTGCAGAAGGACGCTGTTCTCGATAATCTATCGATGGTTCTCGAAGAGGAACATGGTACAGATTTGATTGGGCCAGCCTTCAGAACCGTCTCGAGAAATGATCCCGAACTCGTGTCGCTCGTTTTGGAGAACGTTTCGCGACGCGTGGCCGACGTGGCGACCGAGAAGGAAGCCGCGGACACGGTCTACAAGGCGATCGTCGAGGCGGTGCGTGAGTCCAGTGAGATTCGCGTGAAGAAGTTGCTGAACGCCGAAGGATCGAACGTGCGCGAGATGTTGCTGCAAGCGGTGGGTCTGGCACGAGCCCTCGGCATGTCCGACACAGCGAGTAGCTTACTAACTGTGATCAGTGACGAGCAATCTACTTGGGCGTTGGCGAACGACCGAGTGACAATGGACGTACTGAAGAGGTTGGCGATCATGAGGAAACTCGCGGAAGAGCGACCGCCCTTCATGAACGCGCTCGGACAGTTGTGCAGCGACCCTGAATTAGCCAGGGCGGACCCACGGCTCAGAACTCTCGTAAGAGAGAGCGCCGCGCTGATGATAGTACCGGAAGAAACCCCGTTGTTATCCTCGGCCGACGTGCCGACTGCGTTGTTGCACGCCGACAACAGTCTGGCGATGGAAGAGTTCTTGCTACGAAGAAATCACAAGCCGTCGTCCATTTTCATGATCCTGAAGCAAGGTATGCAAGCTGTCGTGCCGAGAGAGGCTTCCAGATCGGTGCTGACCGGTGAAGTCGCCTACACCGTCCTCGACGAGGACGGTATCCATCACTTCGAGCCGTTGCACGTGTTCTCGGCGCTTAGACTGAATCGTCCGGCCGCTCATCGGTTCTCTATGTATTGCTGCCCGATGGCGAAGGAGGTGGACATCGACGGCGAAGCCATGTCCACCACCTTCACAACCGCAACAACTTCGATCGCCAGCAGTCTGGACGGTTCCGCTAACGGCAGTTCCAACAAGCAAGAAAGCAGCGGCACCGCGACTCTGTCGAGATCCGAACATTCGGCGTTTTATTTAGCTAGCAGAGAAAATACGCCGAGCCTGAAGAGATTGAATAGCGTTCGGCAAAACGACGGAAGCTTCGAGCGGGTAAAGAATAAAGACCACAAAGCAACCGTATATGTTTTCAATAATTAATCATTTATAAAAATGTACATTATGACGAACTGTGCACGAAGGTATATTTTATGTAACTCTTTATTATCGCTTCCTTAGAGATTTCGCGGAGATGAGGAAATTTTGCGACACACGGAATAAATTGCAACTCGCTTCAATAATGAGAGACACTCGTTAGTTCGCAATTTATATCGTATCTGAAATTATCTCAAAACCGAATCCAGTTCCAAAATCTGTCTCACAGCCTCGATATAAATCAATCTTGACGCATAATTACTCTCATTCCGCGAATTTCGGTTTACCGAAATAAACGCGCACAATATCTCCGAGAGACTTTTTATTTTAAGACAAACCGAAAATAAAAAAAAAAAAAAAAATGTCAAGTACACGCGGCTTTATTCTTTCTTTTTTATATTTATGCCGTTGTAATTTTTCTGTTACGCACAGGGATCCTCGGAAAATTACGTCGTCGTGAAGGACTACGTGGGGGAGAGCGATGGTTTCACCGTCAACGTCGGCGACATCGTCGAGGCCATCGAGCACGACGACGGTTCAGCGAAGTAAGCAATTTTTACCTCAAGGATATAATACGCGTTAACCCGACAAAAAAAACTAAAAAAAAAAAAAAAAAAAAGTGAGGAAAAGAAGACGCGCTTCCCGACGGCGGCATTGTCATCGCGGCTCGCCGACTTTCTATCGTTCTCCACGTGGGTGGAACGCCGCCGACGCGTGGTGAATTTTATGCCACCGCGTAAGCTAAGAATAAACCGCGCGAGTTCAATCCGCACGCATACGCGCTCGCGCGATAACGATTGTCCATGGGGCAAACAACTGTTTTATCACCGCTTTCTATCCCCAGTGCGCCATCGCGCAGACACACACGGAAGCGATAAGACCGCGAGATTGATCGGACGAGAACGCATTTATGGGTGACAGGTGCATCCCTTTGCGCGCTCGCCCATTAACACGCTTTCGTCCGAGAGTCGCGCGAGAGTGTACGATCACGCAAATAACACCGAGTCCTGAACGCGGTCTCTGTTTACGCGTTGATCAAATGGGACTGTCCTCACACGCGCATGTGAATCATTACATAGTACGCCGTTATAATCGTAAGGAGAAAACCCGGGGTGAATTTCGACTTCCGAGAATTAATTCTTATACTCTGTCAAACTACAAAGTGAAGATCATTGCCCCGCAAACACGCGTTCTTTCACGCTTCTTGGTGCTCGCACACCCCCGCCCCGGCTATTTTTATATCGCGCGATGGTTTCATCCTCTCGGCGTTATCCTCGTCTTGTATCACGCACAGAATTTGTGCGTATATCTTGTGACTAAAACGCGCGAAAATTCGCGCGAAGAAATTCCGCGATTACGTGAGAAAATTATTAGTCCGTTGGCGCGTCCGTCAATATAATCCTCGAAAAATAATCGAGGATTAGGGAAAAAAAAAAAAAAAGGATTCGTCGGAGCAACGCTGCTGCTAAATCACGCAGGATTTCACAAGGCGGCTGAGGTCTCGGGAGAGATGAGAAACGTCTCTCTCTACCGCGCGTTGTGCGCGGCGATGCCGTTACGCATCGTAAAATTAGCGCGGCAGATGCCTTTCAGTTATGTCTGCGAAATTAACAAGAGGAAACAGCATGTTGCGAAATATCATATAATCCGCAAACGATGTGCTTTCCGCTCCGCCGCGACGCTTGAGGAACTGATCAGCTCTGTAATTTAATAGCTTTGCACGTGCAAGAATCGCTCGTTGTGATACAGTTAACAACATAACATAGCTTTCTCTCTCTCTCTCTTCTCTACGAAGAGCATATATATATGTATGAATAAAAAAATTAACAAATAAATTAAAAATAAAGAAAAATTAACAAATAAATTAACAACAAATAAAAATTTGCAAATAAAGAAATATAATATTTTGAAGATTAATAACACAATAAAAAAATAATAACGCAAAATAAATTTGTGATACAATAACACGAGATAAATGTTGTCGAACGAGCCTCTGAACGAGGCTCTAAAGCGAACTGCTTCGCGTTGTTGTAGGAAAGCGAGGCTGGATCCCGATCTGGACGTCGAGATCGGCGACGTCCTGGACAATTCGGCCGCCCGGCACAAGCTGTCGATAAGACCGCGTCGAAATCACGCGGATCCGCGCGCTCGTGGCGGCTCGAACATCAGTTCGGACTCGAATGTTCAAAGGTAAGACGCCGAGAGACGATCTGTTCATTTGCGGTTTTTACGTCGCGCGAGACTCGCACAATCACCGCACGCGCGGCCGGCATTCGCTAATTTTATCGCCGAAAACGTAAATTAACTCTCTTTGACGTACGATATTTCATGCCGCTTTCGCAACAAAGTTTAACCGACTCGAAATAGAATAACGAAGGCTGCGACATTAAACTCCGCGGATTGCCGCAAGAACAAGGCGTGTCAAATCCTCTTCTTCCGCACAGTTGTGCAATTGTCGTTATCGAATAAAACGGAACATTACGACGAACTCGTTTTGATGAATCAAGAAATATGTACATACATCGTCGCTCGAACATCTTCAAGAAATAAATGACGAACAAGTTGATAAAAAGAGTATCGTAAGATCTTTAAAACATCTAATCTATACGCTCTCATTATTTATATAAGAAAAATAATAAAATAAAAATAAAACCAGTATAATAGCCAAGGTGGATACAGGTGCAAAAATCTGTTTAAAGTGTAAATGTAATACACAATATAATTATAATTCGAATAAAATTTTCACACAATTTGAAAATCTACATCGGATGCTTGAACGAGGAAGAAAGAGATTTGCATCTCCCACGTACACCGAAAAAATTATATTCTCGTAAGTAGAAGATTTTATACTTAAAAAATCTTCTCAAAGATTTTAGATGATATTCTTCTGAAATTAAGAATATATTCTTTATTTAAGAATATATTTTTAATTTAAGATATAATATATTCTTAATTTAAGAAATAATAATATAATTTAAGAATATATTCTTAATTTAAAAGAATATATTCTTAATTTAAAAATATAGTCTTTTTCGATAGTGAAATATATATATGTTTTTCTATATATAGAGGCTTTTTATATTCTAATCAGTATATATTCTTATCAATATTACTATTTAGAAGATTTTCCTCTTAAAATAAGAAACTCTTCTTGGCGCCTATTTTAGTATAAAATATACTTAAAGTAAGTGGGATATCTCCTCAAAACAAGAATACAATTTTTTCGATGTAGGAAAAATGTTCTTTATCTTCTTGCAAAAAAAAACACTATTCTCTGAAAAACTATCTATGGTCAGAAGTCGAATCTGATGTATTATACATTAATCACGCGCGCGCGCGTATAACAAAAATTGTGTAAAAACGTCCGTGCACCGAAAAAATTGTATTCTTGTTTTGAGGAGATATCCCACTTACTTTAAGTATATTTTATACTAAAATAGGCGCCAAGAAGAGTTTCTTATTTTAAGAGGAAAATCCTCTAAATAGTAATATTGATAAGAATATATACTGATTAGAATATAAAAAGCCTCTATAGAAAAACATATATCTCACTATCGAAAAAGACTATATTCTTGAATTAAGAATATATTCCTAAATAAAGAATATATTCTTAATTTCAGAAGAATATCATCTAAAATCTTGAAGAAGATTTTTTAAGTATAAAATCTTCTACTTACAAGAATATAATTTTTTCGGTGTGGGATTCTTCACAAACGAGTGGACTGATTCATCGTTCGTCTAAATTCGTATTCGCGCGCGATAGTGAAGTGCGTTATGAGTGTGAATTGCATTAAACGACGTTACAGGCCAACAAACGCCGAATGGTCTGTAACGCGTGTCGAGGATGTTTTCCAGATTAAATGCAACGTGTTTCAAAGACCGCGCCACTTTGTAAACAGCTCTGGCTCGAAAACGTTTATATTAAATCATCGTAAGAGATATTTAATATCCGGAGGGGCGTTGTACTTAAACCGAATGACAAAGTGACTCGATACTCGGTAAGCGATAAATTTCTTCGCTGCGATTGTGTTCGTTGGCGTTGGTTTAAGAGAACACATTTGGAAATTTCTGCAGCAGATTCCTGCATCGCGCGAGACCTGCATTTGCGAATTTTGTCCGAAAGGCGTGCGCGAGACAGGGAGAGAGAACGAAAGGAAAACAAAAGACCCGTTGTTTGTGCGGATCTATATTCAAAATGCAAATTTGAATTTGCGCGCATTCGAAATAACTTCAGTTCCGCTGAATTATGACGACGCTAATGAAGATTGAGCATTTATAAACGTACCAGACAATAATATCTCGCGTGCGATCCTATCTCCGTGATGATTGGCGACCGGCCAGAGTGTCAGCGGAATGGCGCGATAACGCGTAAGTTATTGTCGAAAGAAATCTTCTAATGTGTCGCGTTGAGCAAATGTCGCAAAGGTTCGAGTTGGAAATTCTTAACGGGGTATACATTGTCGACGAGATGTGTCCGAGTGGAAAGCGTATAGATATTCTTCCGATGTTTGTTACAGAGATTGTGTGTACTCTGTCGTATAGATTTTTAGACGCGTGTAACGTTCGTAATCTGGTAGACTCTTGTCTCGGACGATACATCTCGTGTCCAAGAAAATGCAAACGCGCGTTCACGAAGCTAGTCATGTGTAACAATTCAAATGCAATTTTGCGCCAACGGATTTTGCGTTTCTGTGAATGGACGATGACTTCTCTCTCGATGACAAGACGGCGCGAAGTCTTAGTCATTTCGCGCAAATATAACTGTACGGCACCCACGCGGTCGCAAATCTATCTATATACACGTTCGCTTCTTCCGATAGATTTAATATTGATTTTTATTGTTAGACAAATCTGATTTTTTTGATCAATTATTGAAATTAACACAGATAATTAATGAGAAAATTTATGATAAATGAATATTAAAAAAAATTTATGATAAGTGAATATTGTCGAAAGATGTTGTTACTAATTTTCTAAACTTTAAAAATATTACAAATAATGTTAGTAATTAGTAATAAAATATTTATCATAAATGCAGTTTTATGAGGTTTTTATATTTACGATATTTATATATTTTTATATATTCTTTTAAATATTTATATATTCTTTTATATATTCTTTTTTATATATTCTTTTAAATATTTATATATTTTTTAAATTTATTTGTTTACAAAATAAAAGTATTTATCACAATTCGTAATTAAAACAATGTATTTATTGTAATTGTTATTTTTTACAGAGTATATGTTCGTACATCCGATGGGAAACAAGGATGGCTGCCCGTGAACATTTTGATGCAAACGGCACTTAGCGAAGAGAGCTCATCATTGTCTCGGCCAGAGGATTCTCATTATCGACGAGAGTACGTCTCTACTTTTTATTTCTACTTAATTTGCAAGTTTTTTAAGCGCATTGCGATAATATTTTACCTTCAAATTTAATTTCTACGTGGTGTTTTCTACATTGCAAGTGCATATTACACTGACACACTCGTTTCGCTTTTAGGGCCGTCGTAAAAGAACTAATCGAGACGGAGGAAGAATTCGGAAAGGATCTCCAGGTGGTCGTCGAACGTTATCTGAAACCCCTCGACAATCCCGGCGTTCCGCGCGTCGTACGGGACAACAAAGAAATTATTTTCACTAATCTGAAACAAATAGCTGATTTTCATAACACGTATGTATTTACGGCAACGAACACTGATAGTAAAATAAAGAATTACACTGCGACACTATTCAGATTCATGGATACATTTTCACAGCACAAAAACCGAACACCTCACATCTCTGCGCTCACTGCGATTCTTCTTAAATCTATTAAAAAATGTTACAAGTGAATAAACGTTTCAATTTTCTTTTTTTTTTTTTGGCATACAAAGAGAATCACCGAAAGAACACATGCGCACTCTGACACATGCTATTTAAATTGAAATTATACAAATTCCAACTACTTTTGTACAAACAATTGATTTACTTTCGTCACACATTAATGTTATATAATTGGTTTATTATAATTTGGTTTTCAATCACACATCACACACACGATCACGATTCGTATACGATCATGCAATCACACTACACAAGATTTTTTCACATGTAGCGGAGTACGATGAAAGAGCGTAAGTCTGTCGTGGAAACGTATTTTGTGTGGTAGTGTGCTTTTTCGTATATGTGAACGTGTGTAATCCCAAAACAGATTATTTAATTTCATAATCTATCATTCCTTCAAACTACTGCCTTATGAAAAGTTGATTATAAGCAACTCCCTTTACTTAATGTGTCAGATTTCACGTGTAACAAATATTAAAAAACAAAAAAAAATTACTGTAAAATTAAATACAAGACCTGTGAGATAAGGCGCAATTAATTTGACCGACGCTAAAAGAAATTAGTTACCAACAACGTCGATGTGTACCAATATCAAGTTAATTTTATTACTCACTACATTACTAACCGGATCGATTTTAATTTATCATCACTCGTCAGAAATATCTTGCTGGATTTTTTTCTGATAAATTAAACCACCATTCTAATTTCTTCGCGTGAGGCCCCCTTTAAGACCGGTCCGCCCCCTCCGCCCCATGTGTCAGTGAATAATAACTGATAACCGAAATGTGCTCAGAGAGATTTCGACTCTTCCGTGTCGCATTTTAAAGTGAGGCGTGTCGCATTGTAAAGAAGACTTCCGTTTCGTAGCATGTTAGGCGTGGTGTGACTGTGGCATGATAATTAATTCCGGCCTTACTTAGATCGTTCGGCAGGGTGTTGATCGAGGGCGTCAAGTACTACGCGGATCAACCACGTATGCTCGGCAGAACTTTCTTGAGACTGGTAAGTGTTCATTACCAGATATTTTAGATGTAATGAAGAAGTATTAAGGCAATTGTTTTGCAATACTGTTATAATGTTGCGATTGAAAAGCGAGAGAGTTAATTTTATTTGTATTATAAGCAACGTATATATATATATATATAAAGTTTACTCCTGTAAGCCCTTGACGTTCGTGCGATTTTTGAAATTGAGAAATCTTATTAACTATTTAGTGGAAGAATTTCTAAAAATAAAAAATATAAAAACTAATATTATTTTTTTAATATAGAATGTTGAAAAAAGCCTCATAATTTTTTACAGATTTTTTGCAACGTTTTAATCAATAAAAAAATCGCGTGAGACATAAATGTCAAGATTTACACAGGATAAGTACCTAAAAAAAACTGTTAAACAAGATTAGGATAAACGTTGTGTGTTAATTATCGAAGAAAGTTTTGCATAAACCATATTTCTATCACATCAAAGATATTATCATTTATTCGTGTGTTAAAAATATAAAAAAATAATACTTGTTTAATATTCAATACTTTTTTTTCAAAACGAACGAACAAACGTTATGTCGGACTCTTTACTGACATTTATCACTGTCTGTATTAATGATGTTATAAAAATCAAACTTATTTATATTCTTAAAATGCAAAAATGTAAGAAAGTAAAATAATGCGCAAAATGTTTATTCGATGAATAGAAACTTATTTCATAATGCCTGTGTATAAGAATAAATAAAAATATGAGACTATCACACATTTTTATAAGTGTGAGTCAGAACTAAATAAATATCAGAACTAAAATATCATACTAAAATATAATGTTAATACATTATTGAGACGTCTCAACACGTCTTTAGTTAGGCGACGTGTTCGAACGTTTTTTTAGAGAGTGTTGCAGTTAAAACTTAAAATTGATAAGATGTTCATTATACACATTATTGTGCTTATCATTTATTTTTGTCCCAGATTAGATTTTTCTTACACGCGTTAATTAATTTTTACAAAAATCTCTCAGTCAGCAATGTGTTAAGAATAAAAACATTAATAATCGCTGATATTTGAACGATAATGTTGATTGAAATTTTATTCTCTTTCAGGAGAGGGATTTTGACAAGCATGTGGCGTACTGTAGAGACGAGCCTGCTGCTCAAGAATTTCTTCAGACGAACGACGAAGTACGCGAATACTTCGAGGTATGTACACGTTCTTTCTCTCTCTCTCTCTCTCTCTCTCTCTTTCTTTCTCTTTCTCTCTCTCTCTTTCTGTTATCATAATTACAGAAATAGAAATTTAATTTAAATTAACGTCTGTTTCGAAATGAGGCGTCAATATTATGAACATTGCGATTTGTTGGCAATGGCAATGTGAATATCAAGATTATATGCGTGTGTGTGTGTGTAAAGTAATATTTTATCTAAAAATACTTACAGATATAGTTTATGTCCAGATGCAAAATTATTTTTATAACATGCCAACTGAGCAAGTACGTGTAAACAGCAATTTAACATGTGTTAATTAAAAATAAATGAGAAATCATACGATGATAAAATTAGTATGGAGAATATAAATATTATATATAGCAAATTAAACATATATAACTAAAATAAATATATACATATTTAACTAAATATACAAAATAAATATATATAAAACATATATATATATATTAAATATACATATAAATAAATATATTATATTATATATTAAACTTAAGAAAAAACAATATATAAAATAAAAATGCAGCGACAAATATCACAATAAGTATTTTACAATAAAGATGAAATTAATTTTTTCATGTAATACTTTTTGACTTTTTAAAAAGTGACACAGACATTGCACGATTAATGACGATCGTATTCACTTTTAATTACTCGCTTTTAACATAAAGACTAAATTAAAACACTTTCTTCAATTTGTAATTCTACGCGACACGCAGGTTGCGAGCTTTCATCACGATTCCATGACCGATCGGCGCAACAGGGAGTATGGATTGGAGAAAATGTAATTATATAACGCGCGCGGGGATATGTGCGGGCGTGTGTCCAGCCCTCAAAATAGCTGAGTTTATTCTTAACGAACGGAACATCTATCGTTTCTGTTACTTACGACTGATAGTATCGAGATGCGTTGTATTAAGAAAAATATGTTTCCTCGGGATATGTCGTAGAGACAGGATATCACACGCCACTGAACAAAGAATCGCAAGAAAGAAGTTAAAAGTGTCTCTTGAATGTGTCTTAAAAAAATTTAAGTATCTAAATTTGTTAAACTAGTTTATACATACATTTTTTTAAAGTGATGAAAATTAGCTTTTAAAGATAATTTTTAATTCAACAAAGTTTGATGTGTTGTGAGTTTTAAGAAATTATTTTAAATAAGCGTAGAGAAGAAGTAGACTCGGGGCAACATTAACGAACATAAAGTGACAGCGTTGGATTCTATTTCAAGTCGCATTCTCTAGATCTCTCTTATAACTCTAACGTCTGAAGAATATATATATATATAACGCAATGGATCCCAGTCAACCATTGCGTACAATATCTCATTTAAATTTTAATCGGAAAAAAGACAGTAAAAAATTCTTAATTAAAAGACGCAGAGAGCGTAGCCAAGGAGGAAACGGAACTCGCGAACACACCGAATGTATCGATGATTCGCGTGATTTTTGTGTTGTTTTTCTCGCGTGGTCAGTCGTACGCGAAATCGTCCGACGTCTAAGTATAGCCGTTGCCGTATTGGTCTCTTCTGAGTGTAGTCGCGACGGGAGCGAGCGCCCGAAGATTCCTCGTCGGTGCCGCGCGAACCGCTGACCACCACCACGCCGTTTAGTGCGTGCGAAGAATCTTCATCTCAATCCGCAGAATCCGATCACAGGAGCCGGACTCCTGGGTGCAGTCTGTCTGCGACACCCTCTGCGACGACCACGTGAAATTCTTCGACCGAGCCAGCGACTCTCTCTCTCTCAGGGTCTTTCCTCTCTTCAATTCCAAGGTGCGCGTCTAAAGGAAGCTCCGGTTCTTCGGTTTTGGTTTTTCTCTCTTCGAATTCTTCTTGTCCGCCGGACAAGCGGAGAAGAGAGAGAGCGTCGCGACGCGTCTTCCGCCGCGATACGTCAATCCGCCGCGCGCGTCGTCGCCATTCCCGAATGCGTTGTTGTTAGCGCGCGGTGGTGACAAAGCGTCGCGCGGGGGCCGACACACCTCCGTATGTTGCATACAAAATCATCCAGTCACAGCCAAAAATACGTGTGTTCACGCCAGATCTCTGATGCTCCCGGTGTCGAATTACGGTGTGTGTCGGGTGAACATTGTGGCGAACCCTTGTGTGTCGAAATATCTCGATCTCGTTAGCGCGGTAGTTATTGTTTCTTGGTATATAAACGTGTTCCTAAGTCTCGTTCCAACAGCAGATTGCAAGGAACAAAAAACAAAAAACTTATCCGTAAAAAAATATATATGACGTTAGTGCGCAAGAGGAAAAGAGTTTCAGATTAAAATTCGCTTCTTGAAAATGTTAATAAAAAAAATGCCAGTTTAAAAATAACAATAAAAGAACTTTCACGTGTGAAAGAAGTCTAAAAAAAAAAAAAAAATTCGAAATTTTCTTGTGTAGAATTGCGTGCGAATTTAAATAATTGATATCGTATCTTTTTCACAAAAAAGCGAACATTTCGATATCATACGTGCCATCGTGCCTCGTTTTCTTGCAGGAGTTGAGCCAGACTCTGGGTGACGACAAGAGCATATCGGAACACTTGAAGCTACCGATACAACGTATAAACGACTACCAGCTCCTTCTAAAGGTACATTGCGACGATATAATATTATTATTATATAAATTATTTTATATGAAATTTTGTTATTTTTTATTATTATTTTCTAAAATCGTGCACGATGTGTGTGTGTGTGTGTGTGATGTTAAATTCTCTCGCAAAAATAATCGCTCGACAATCTTTTTCAAAACTGGCATAGAAATAATCGAGTGAAATATTCATCAGGTGTGATGTAGAGCAGACTTGACACTTTTTTTTTTTTTTTTAACCGCTGCAATCAACATACATAAGACAATCCCGCACTCTCTCAGCTGAGTACACGGATATACAGCACGACCTATATTTCCCACTCGAATTTTATTGCGCCAGACGGAAATAGCGCGGCGCTAAAGAGCCGCTTTTCACTTCGCCTTGAAATCGCGTCTTCCCGACGACGTTATTGCCGCTCATTCACACACATATCGGAAAGAGTTTAACGAGGAGCGAGTAAATCAAAACGCGTTGTATTAACAAATCTTCCGCTTGTTTTTATTACGAATAACAATTACACTGTATATTTTATTTTGTTGTGTTTTATTTCGAATCTACTTTTTCTCACTTGCAATTGATTTCTCGAATATCAAACAGAAGAATTTCGCGCGAACCAAACGAATTGGCATCGAGATTTTTCGAGCGTTCGAGAGACAGCTCGCTCATTGACAATGTTTATGATAATCGTCTTAAGCCAAGTAGAGTAATTTTATTAGAGCGCGGGCTAGTTGCCCGCGGGAAGATCAACAACAAAAAGGCAGCAACATTTGTGAGTTGGAACGCGAGCAAGACGTGTTCTCAATGGTTAATGAGTTTTTGGCCTATTTGCATTATTGACGTTCCGCTCTGACTCACTGCTTTATAAACACACGCGTGACAAACGTAACAATGTCGAAAAGTCGTTCAACATATCGATAAAAAAATCAATATATCAAAAAAACACTCTTTAGTCAATTAATAAATTGCTATTGACTTCCGATTCGATGTAACAAATCGACAAATTTGTCGAAGAATTCGAAATATTTTTCGATCAGAGTTTCGAAAACTATGCGTGAAAGCGCTATATAGAATATCACGTTGTATTTTATGTTTGTGTGTTACCGCACGTGTGGGCGTTGTGACAGATTTAGCGAGCTAAAAGCGGGTCGTCCACACAGTAGATTATCCTTTGAACACATCGCGATTTTTGGCTTATGGAAAAATTTTCCGCAAAAACATACGAGACGGTAAGTAAAAAGAGCATTGCGAAAATCAAAATGCGCACACGACGAAAGAAAGTCGCGCAACGAACGTTGCGCAAAATTCTTCCGTTTAAAACGAACCGAGGACAGATTTTGTTTCTCAATTTGCTTTTTTTTTTTTTTTTTTAATGTGTATTCATCTTCAAGCGCAAAATGTGCGAGTTAACAAATCGCGTGTTTTTATTTTTTAGGAGCTGGTGAAGTATTCGACTCGATTAGGCGAAAACTGCGACGATCTGCAAAAGGCGTTAGAGTTGATGCTAGGAATCCCCCACAGGGCGACCGATAACAAATTTATAAGCAATATCGAAGGCTACAAAGGAAACATTCACAAACTTGGTAGATTGCTCACGCACGTGAGTACGTTGCAAGAGATAATTCTTTTTTAACAAATGAAAAATTTTAATTACTTCGATTACACGATGACACAATTTCGTGATGTTCGAAGATGATTCTTTGTTAAAACAAAGAGCGCATTTTTTTCATTCGCGTATTTTTCAGGAATGGTACACAGTTATCGATAAGGAGGGAAAAAGCAAAGAGAGATATTTGTTCCTGTTCAAAGCGCGAATCCTCGTTTGCAAAGTCAGACGGATATCGGAGGACAGATCGGTTTTCGTTCTAAAGGATATTATTCGAGTAAGAAAGCGCGGATCGCGTATCGATCGCGTATATCGAAGTATAAAATTGTGCGGTGTGTTTCGTCATTTTGTTACAGTTGCCGGAAGTAGAGGTAAAGGATCATCCGGCCGACATACGATCGTTCGAGCTACACAATCCGGCTGTTCCCAATTATCCAATCACACTAGTAGCTCACAAAGATCTCGTGAAGGCTTATTGGCTCAGAGAAATCCGTCAGTACGCCAGCGACCTAGTCGCTCTCGCCGAACACGCGGCGGACGATCTTCAAGTGACCGAGGAAGCGTCGGAGACCAAGGAGGATCTCAAGAGCGACGAGAAACCGGTACCGGTGAAGATCGAACCGCCACCGCAAGCGAATCCAGGTCCACCCAAAGCCCAGGGTAATCCGAAAGAGGAAGCCAATCCGAAAGCGGCGAAAGAGGCAAAGACAAATCCAGATCCACCCAAAGTCCAGGGTAATCCGAAAGAGGAAGCCAATCCGAAAGCGGCGAAAGAGACAAAGACAAATCCAGATCCACCCAAAGTCCAGGGTAATCCGAAAGAGGAAGCCAATCCGAAAGCAGCGAAAGAGGCAAAGACAAATCCAGATTCACCCAAAGTCCAGGGTAATCCGAAAGAGGAAGCCACTCCTAAAGCGGCAAAAGAAGCGAAGGCGAATCCAGGTCCACCGAAAGCAGACTCGGTCAAGGACAACGCGAAAGTTGTAGAGAAGAGGAAGGATTCCGTTGACGCGACCGACGCGTCGGAAGTAAAGAAGACCAAAGTCGAGGAAGAAAACATGTCTCGAAAATACTCTTCGAGTCGGTTCAGCGCCTCTTCGCAAGTCGTGGAAGGTGAGATTGCTGAAACAAAATTGGATTGGATATAGAAAAACACACATATATTTTGTTTTGTTACAACTCGATGTCGCATGCGAAAGCTTCAAACTGACAATCCAAGTCGATGTTGCGTCAATGTTTTGTCGAGTTCATGTTTTGCGGCTGCGATGTTTTGATCTCGTTGTGCTGTAAAAATGTGGGAAAAAAATCGCAGAGAATTAATTATTGTTTAAATTATCGTCTTTACGCGATTATAAAATTATTAAAGTTGCCGTGTGTTTTATCACTCGAATCTTGTGTGAACGTTCTGTGAATGAATGTATAGTAAGGCAGCTTCCAACTAATACCCTGTAGAGTACTCGTCGATATCGAGCAGTCGCGATGGCGTGGAATCCTCGTACGTGGAATCGTCCGTCGAGACGAGGATGGCTTCCTCGTCGCAGGGAATGGGGCAGATAACGGAAACCACGGCTTCTTACGAGTCTTCCGCGATCACCGGAGGAACAACAGCCAGGCAGACAAAAGCCGTCGAGAGCAAGACGTCCGAAGCCAGCGTCGAAGCCACCGTCGAAAGCAGAAAGGCCGAAGCCACCTTCGCTAACGATGACGTTAGGAAGCCGGTGTTTATCAAGACGATAGAAGGATGCAATGTGGAACGTAAGTATAAGTATGATCATTTTTACACACGCGATGAGTTTTTTTTAAGAAACCAATATACTCGTAAACTTTGTCACTAGTTAATTTAAATTCGCGCTTTAATTCTCGAGAAAATAAATTTTCGATATTTTCAGTTTCGGTTTGTATATTTTTGTATTTTTTTAAATTTAGTTCGATAAGATACACACGCGATGAGTTTTTTAAGAAACCAATATACTCGTAAACTTTGTCACTAGTTAATTTAAATTCGAGCTTTAATTCTTGAAAAAATAAATTTTCGATATTTTCAGTTTCAGTTTATATATATTATATTATATTATATATTATATTATTTGTATTTTTTTGTGTGTATTTGTATTATATTTTTGTATTATATTTGTATATTTTTGTATTTTTTCAAATTTAGTTCGATAAGATACCGAATGCAGATCCCATAGAATCGAAATGTGTGTCTATCATTTAAGAGAAATAATAAATTTAAAACACCTGTTCACACCTGGTAACATTTGCTTAATTTTTACCTATTTTTTTATATTATTAAATTAATTAATTAATCTCTTTTTAATTTGTTACAATTTGATTTAGATAAAAGATATTCGACGAGATTTAAATATTTAGTAATTGAATTGTTTTTGCAAATATAATCACACACACACATATACACACACGCAAGAAAATAAATAATCCAAGATCCCATCACGAGATATAAGACATACATTTTTACTGTTCTAGCTACGCGACCAAAAAAGGCATTGATACACGCCATAGGTAAAGTGACACGTAATTTGCTTATAGTTCATCAGCGTTTCTCTGCGTTTTTTTGTTTCATACATCTCTTTCTCTCTTTTTCGTGTTTCTCTTATATAGCCAGCTGAGTAAATTGCTTTTAGACGTAATACGTTGCTGGTTGAAACCACGCTTCATCGTTTAACTCTAGATGTTTCGCTCTGTACACGATCAACACATCTACACTAAAACATTTACACATCTCGCTATACTGGAACACATCATCGCAACTCACACAAATCACATTGATGATACACTTGTATTGCTACACACACACACACACACATATACGTGTATTATTGCACTGACATTTGTTTCAGAGACTACATTATTCCATGGCTAGAAAATTCTCGTATCTTTTTTAGAGATTCTTCTTTTACAGATTAGTTTACATTAGTTTTGCACACAGTCGGGTACTTTAACAATATATACATGTGCACTTTTGTGAATTGCTCTAGAAAATAGTTTTTACACATAGATGATAAAAACGAGACATTTTACAAAAATACGAACGTTTATCTTTTCACACTCTTCTACAACAGAACGAGGTTTTTCATCAGTTAGTTCTCAATATCCAATCATCGGTAACCTTCGACTCGTAGTTTTGTACTTTTTTTTTTACCCTTCTGCACAATTATATCATATTACACAAGTGCACTTATTACATAATTAATGTCATACAAATTATATGCGCGTTTCGAGTATATATTCGATTTAATTATACACAAATTGCACTTATTGTGTTTTACGCACATTGATAACTGTTCTGGAATCAATTCCATGGTGTCACTCATTGAAAAAAAATCATGATAAGAATTAATGACAATTCTCATTTTCATATTTTAAATATAGAACGATCGTATCTCTGAATTTTTTTTTTTGACGAAGACTTGCTTTTCGCAATTTCATACTTTTTGGGATAGTGATTTTTTGTTTTTATTATCGCGCGCTAATACGCAGTCACTTTTCTTATACGCAGCCGGCGAAGTCGCTACTTTCGAGTGCACGCTGCTAACCACGGACGAGAATACCAGGATACAATGGCTGAAGGATAACAAACCGATGGAAGACAAATTGGCAGATCGCGTTGTTACATCGTTGACCGACAGCGTATGTAAACTGGAGATTCAGAATGTTCACGAATCAGATTCCGGTATATATATCGCACGAGCTTTAAATGGAAACGGCGAGGCGACGTGCACCGCGCAGCTCGTGGTTCACCAGTGTAAGTTACGTTATTTGTCTTACTTTTCTGTAGTTTAAGATGCGAGAAATAATTTTTATAATAAAAAATACGAACGCACACACGTGTCGCAGTGAGCCCGGAAGAGAAGAAGGCGAGAGCCGAAGCGAACTCTCCTATATTCTTGGTGCGTTTGAAGGACACCGAGCTGCTCGAGAACACGTATCTGCGCTTTATGATCAAAGTCAAAGGGGATCCCAATCCGGAAATAAAATTGTAAGTTTTATTTTATAAAAAAAAAAAACTATATATATATATATTAGACTTTTGTACGTTTTTGTATGAATTAATCTTAGAAAAATTAATGTACAATTTACTTCTCTAAAAATTTTAAACAATATTGTTTTTTTTTCGTTTGTAGCTTCAAAAATGGCGTCTTGATCGACGCAAAGCACGAACGCGTAAAAATTATCCGAGACAATGCCGAGAAGGGATTTTATGAAATGGTGATCGCCGACGTTCAGAAGCAGGATGCCGGCAAGTATTCGTGTTCAGCCATGAACCGTTACGGCGAGACCACTTGCGAGGCAGTGGTAACGGTGACAGATGAGAAGCCACTCTTCCAAGGTCTTCCCGAAGGTCTTCTCGAGCTTGGGACCGAGCCAAAGTTTCTTTGGTCCCGCGATGGAGAACCGTTCGATCCTGAAGAGAGATTTAAGGTTCTCTTCAAGGATAACGAGGACACTTTGGCGCTCGTGTTTCAACATGTTAAACCTGAGGACGCCGGTCTTTACACATGTGTGGCGCAGACTAGCACAGGTAAATTATTTAATAACACATAGTTAATGTTATGTATATTTAAAAAATAGAAAATTATAAAATTTTATATTTAATTTCGTTGATAAATTAATTTATATGAGAAGTTTTTTTTAAATATATATTGTACCATTAGGTAACATTAGCTGCAGCGCAGAGTTAACGGTGCAAGGTGCCGTGAATCAATTGCTGAAGGACCCGGAGAAGCCAAGACTCCAAACGGAGTCCAAAAAGTCCGAAGTAAACGTCGGTGGTTCCGCGATGTTGGAGCTCCAGGTGAAGGGCTATCCCAAGCCGGACATCAAATGGACGAAGGACGGTCAGGAGATCGTGGCCGGCGGTAGGATCAAGTATCTCTGGGAGGATGAAGAGTCTCTGTCGCTGGTGATCAAACAAGTAACCGCTAAAGACGGCGGCGTGTACACCATCACGGCGAAAAATGAGCTCGGCGAGGACAACACGCAGATCGAGTTGATCGTCAAGTCCGCGCCGAAGATCATAAAGAAGCAGTCGGACATGATGATCCTCATCGACGAGACGGACACGATGACCGTACAGGTAGAGGCCACTCCGGCACCGGAAGTGACGTGGTACAAAGACGGCCAGTTGATTCAGGAGAGCGATCGCATCAAGATTATCAAGGGGGATAACGACACGTACAAACTTACGATCAAGAACGCGAAGCTGACAGACGCGGGCTCGTACTCGATCGTCGCGCGCAACGAAATCAATCAGACGACCGATATGTGGAAGGTCGGCATCAAGTGCCCGCCGAAGATCAAGAAGAGACTGGGCGAGCCGCGAGTGATCAACGAAGGCGACACCTTGAATCTTCTGATCGAAGTGGACTCCGAGAGCAATCCGACGGTGAACTGGTACAAGGACGGGGAGCTTCTGACTGCGAGCGATCGCGTGAAGATGACGAAAAACGGAAACAATTATATACTCACGGTCACTGGAGCGAAAGTGGAAGATGCGGCGGTTTACAAGGCCGAGATTGTCAACCAGCACGGCACTATCTCAGACGACACGAGAGTCAGGGCAAGTAGTTTTTAATTTTTTTTTCACTAATGTTTTTCTCATCTTTTTGTTATTCTTTTTTTTACAATATCTCTGCAGGTACGCGGCATACCGAGATTCAAGACGAAATTGTGCGACATGAGCGCGAACGAGGGTGAGCTGAACGTCGAGTTCGTGGTGGAGGTGGAGGGTTTCCCGAAGCCGAGCGTGCATTGGTTCTTGGGCGACGTGGAGATTACGGAAAAACGCACGGAGTACACGCGTGTGGAAGAGGGCGACAACTACAAGCTCATCATGAAGGAGGTGAAGACCGAATTGAAGGGTTGCTACACTTGCAAAGTGCAGAACGAATACGGCGAGAACTCGAGCAGCTCCAACTTGACGGTGAACACTCGGCCGAAGTTGCTGAAGAAACTTGCGGATCAGAGATTGAAGGAGGGCGAAACGCTGACACTTACGTTCGAAGTGTCGGGCACACCGGATCCGGAGGTCAAGTGGTACAAGGACGGCGAGGAGGTGACGGCGGACGCCAGGATCAAGATCACCAGAGACAGTCAGCGCAAGGAGAGTTACGATCTGACGGTGACGTTGCTGAAAGGCAGCGACGGTGGATTGTACGAGGTGCGGGCTGAAAATGAGCTCGGCTACGTCACCAGCAAGAGCAAAGTCATCGTGTTGAGTAAGTATTTAGTGATACTTTGTTCTCTCTTCAATCTGACTCTGGAACTCGACTTTCTCCGAAGGCAAAGTCAACTTAAAGATGTTTGTTTATTGTGATGTATTTTTCTATCAATACTTTTTGATGTTGAAAAATTATTTTTGCGATTATTCTCACGCAATTTTACATGTATACTTATCTATCCTCGCGTTATTTCGTTCGTGACGTCACGGGTCGAGTTCTGGAGTTAAACGCGGAATAATTTTTGACTTGAGATCTCAAACAAAGATGGCTGAAACCGTGATAGTTGCCGGAAGGCAGGTGCCAATAGGCAGCGTAAATTTCTAGTTTTCGAGAAATCACAGCGGTAAAAGTCGTCGTGTTTCAACGTTCAGTAAGTACTGAATGAAAGAAAAAACAAGAGACGTGTGCACACACACATACAATTTTGTCCCTTTCTTTATGTCTCCCGATGTGACATTTTTTTTTTTTTGTACGGCCTTTAGCGACGAGGTTTATTCGAGACAATTCTTTTTTTTCTCACAATTCCTCTCTCGTTGTGCGAAAGATCTGTGTGTCAAAGGGGACTCTTCTGATTTCCTTGAACGAAAGGGAAAGAGCACCCGTCCTTGAGCACGCGTCACGGTAAAAAATTTTTCATATATACTTATACACAAATTAAAATATTTATATCTAATTATGCAAATTTATACGCCGAATATGTCCATATAATTTTATACACGGAGAATTTCTTTTTTTAAGAGAATGGCTTCAGAGATATTCCATATCAAATTACAAAATAACTCTATTAGTATCATGTTAGATACAAAAAAATTGTATAAAACTATATTTTTACTATATTTTAAAAAAATTTTTGATATATGGGTAATTCTCAAAAAACGTAATTTCCGTGGACTGTAATCTCCGTGGTATATTGACATAAAAAACATAGATAAGTTTTTTATATTGCATAGTCACGTATTCATATTACGAATGGTGACTTAAAATGGTATGAAAAAACATAATTCACCGCTATCCGTTAGTTAATAATAATTATTTTTTATCAAAACTGAAAGTTGAAATTTACGCGTTCACAGAGAATCACCCATATAATCATATATACTTATACACAAATTAAACTTATTATATCTAATTATGCAAATTTATATACCGAATATGTCCATTTTATACATGGAAAATTTTTTACCGGGTTAAAGACGTTGACGCGCAACAAAATGTGTTAACTTATTTCTTCTCTCTCTCTATCTTGTTTTTTTTTATTAAAAATATCTTACTTTGTTTACGTTCATCACACAACTTTGCTTCTGTGTTCTTTTACTTCGCGAGACATTCTTGCGCGATTTTGTTTAACTCTTTCGAATCTCTAACAAGTGTCACGAGTGCTGACACGTCGCGCGTCTTAAAACACGTCACGACAAAGACTCGAAAGACTGTACTTCCGTAGCTGAAACGGAAGATAAGAAGGTCGATGAAAAGATAGAGCCCGCGAAAGAGAGGGTCAAGGAGGTGGCGGCGAACGAAGAGGAAGCGAGGAAAGCGGTGGAGGAGGAACTGCCGCAGAAAACGTCTCAGCGCGCGGAAGAATCGGAAGCGGAAGGTAATCACGTAAACACTGATTTACGACCAACTAGAGAGCGTGATTGATATAAAAAAGTTTTAATTTCGCTACATTATTGTTATTATCATTATACAACGCGCAGCACACACAAGCTATACGCTTTGACAAATTTTAAGACGTCGATATTAGATTGATTTTTCATACAACGCGCACGCTTCGAAAAATTATTTTTATTTTACACACACTGGAAAATATTTTAATCTCACAGAAACTGAACTTTTTGCATGCTAGACCCAAGGTAGGTTTTGCACAATTTGGATTTTTGAATTTTAGCAATTTTTTGCGATTGTATATAAATTTTTTTCACATTACTTTTTTTGCGAAGTTATTATTATCGCTTCGTGCTGTCGTTTTCGAAATTCGTTTTTTTTTTTTTTTTTTAAGCGCACATTCTAATTATTTGTGGCAATTTTTTTGAACATAATTTAATTTACATAATTTTATTTTGACAACGCCACGTACACGCACAGTAACATAACTTAACGATATCGAGAAGGTATCCGATTAGGGATACCCCCTTCCCCGTTTGGCGGTAGTTTTGTAGCGAGACAATGTCTGATAAATCCAGGTTGGGTCAGGCTGAAGAAACAAACCGTCCAAGTAAATCAGGGAGACAATGAAACAATCACGATTTCCATGGCCTCCACAACATCACACGAAGCCATACTCACAGGTAATCCTTACGCACAACACCATTCATTCAAACCAAGCCAGCGCAAAAGTTTCCGAAAAATTGTTTTTTTTTTTTTGCAATTTTTTATCATTCGGATTTACTTTTGTGTTGCTCAAACACTTCAGAACTAACAATCACACAAAAACAATACGGGAATACAAAATTATTCTAAAGAACTTAACGTGTTTTATTCCTCTTCAAAATTCTCATCATCGTCTACTCTCAACGTAGCCGAGTGTAAATCAATTTTGACAATCGTAATCGCGTAGTTTGAGCGATTCTAACATCTATATATATATATACAGGGTGTCTCATAATTGCCGTCTAACCTCGTAGGTAGATAGAAGAGGTTATTCTAAGACGAAAAGTTCTATACCACTTTGCAAGATTCGCGATAATTAACGAAATATTAATTAATAAAGATCCGCTAATTAGCGTGCATCCAGCGTAAGGACAGCCCAGTCTGTCGCGCCGTAGCGACGGAATACAATAGCGCGGATAGCGCGCTGCCCGAACGCAGCCTATATGCCGTCTATGTATGCACATGTTAATCTATTAGCTCCTCCCATTCCGTCGCTACGGCGCGACAGACTGGGCTGTCCTTACGCTGGATGCACGCTGATTAGCGGATTTTTATTAATTAATATCTCGTTAATTATTGCGAATCTTCCAAAGTGGTATAGGACTTTTCGTCTTAGAATAACCCCTTCTACCTGCCTACGAGCGGTGAGACGGCAATTACGGGACACCCTGTACATATATATATATATACAGGGTGTCCCAGAATTGGTGTAACATCTCTCGTAGACAGGTAGAAGGAGTAAAACTGAGTCGATAAGTCCTATATCATTTTGGTAGATTCGCAACAGTTACCGAGATCTTAATTAACAAAGATCAGCGAATAAGCATGCATCGGGCTGTCTTACGCGCGTAAAACAGCCCAGTGCGCTTCGCGCGATAACGGTGTTACCCATAGCGACATATGGGAGGAGTTAATATAACAGCATATACTATAACATATACATATTAAAATGTAATTGTGCGAAGCGCGCCGGGACTGTCCTACGCGCGTAAGACAGCCCGATGCACGCTTATTCGCGGATCTTTGTTAATTAAAATCTCGATAACTATTGCGAATCTAGCAAAATGGTATAGGACATTTTGACTCAGTTTTACTCTTTCTATTTGTTCACGAGAAATGTTACACCAATTCTGGGACACCTTGTGTATATATATCAACAAGATGTATATTTTTAAAAATACAAAAGTCACGTGTGTTATCGCACGTGCAAGCACGCGCGATTTAGTTAGTCGAAGATACCAGGTCAGACCGTTCGCAGGTCCCGACGAAAGTCACACAATCAGCAAGATGACGGCAACGAAAGTCGAGTGTCGGGAGTTAGGGGTCAATTTCGGTCCCCGCGTCGAGGAAGTGGCCTCTTACGCTTACACCGTGCAAGACGAGACGTCGAAGCCGCAAAACGGCGTGTTGATTGAAGAATTCTCGGAGGTCGAAGAGAAAAGATCGAACACGGCTCTCAATCGTGGTGTCACGATCGTTTCGGTATCCGATGACGAGTCGACTCTGAAGGCGTTATCGCGAGACGTCAGCACGGAGGACGTGCAGACGGCCGATCAACTGCCGGATGATCAGAACGGCATCGTCGACGAATTTTGTTTCAACGGTACACCGGAAATAGAAAAGACTCTGGAGGATATCAGAGTGCACAGAGTGAGAATCGCAGAGACTATTACTGAGGAACAATTTTCCGAAGAGCCATTGTCCGCGGTGTTGTCGAGTCGGGAAAGTCTGGAAGTGAAGGAGATGAAAGTGTCGAGCCAGAGCTCGGCGACTATCAGCGACGCGACTCCGGCGAAGCAGATCGCGGAGAAAACTCTCGATCGATCGGACTCCGCTGGAGTGGAATTATCGAGGGAAACGGCGAAACTTGAAGAGGTGAAAACTTCGACTTTGTCGAGCGGAACGTTGTCGAGACAGAGCTCGCAGAAGGCGCAGCTTGACGATGACGAGGAAGTTGACGAAGAAATGAAGGATCTTCTGGCTCGCGTTAAACGACAGCGTAGTGTGCTAGACGAAATACTCGATAGAGAGTCGGGCAGAGAATCAGGTACGATCGCGAGGCTTCATCGGTAGTGTTTCAGCAGCTAATTCTTCGGCACTGCGCGACTTCTCCTTCGTCGAAACGTAAACTGCGTATCTCATCTTGTATTTCTGACTGACAGACTCAGACTAATCCTTCTTTCGCATGTCGTAGATCTCACAACAACACAAATTTCTATACACACACGTTTGTGCATGGAAACACGAAGAAAGTTGATTAAACATGAGAATTTACAAGATTCATAATTTTTTAAAGAGATTTGTTTCTTCTTGACAATTTTTTCAATATTACATGTACGTAATATTATAATTAACATATACAACATACATATTTTAAATACATATATATTTATTTATTTATTTATTTATTTTATTACTAATTAACAGTAAATTAAGTGACAGAGTTTATTATTCGTGTTTTCTTGCGTAATACACGTCGCCTAGTTTCTCTGTTCGAAAACTTTGTTCTATTCAACACTGATCTAAAGAACTGCTTTTTATATTCGTCATCTTAAGATATATCAAGGTAAGAGACTACGAGTTCTTTTCTTTCTCTCTCTCCTTTCTCTATGTGTGTGAAAGATGATCTCGTCGATTTTTTTTAATCCTCACTGTGCGATTTGCTGAGCACCTGCTTAATCATGAGAGCTTCTATAGGTAAGTACACTAAAAAACGTCCAGTAATGATAGACAATGAAGCACCGCTGATGACTGAGTAACTTAAAATTGTATCAGCAAACAAACATAACATTGAGATTTTATATTATTGCAATATAATTTTTATACAAATTTTAAATGTTTACGACAAAAACTGTGCAAATAAACATTTTTTTTTATCATGCTATGATCAGTCGTTTGCTGATGCGTTTTAAGCACTGCACCTGTAAGAAGAAGAATTTGCGTGCAAACAACAACGCATGTTGACACACGCGATGAAGTTCTCGACGAAAGACGTTCTCATTTTTCTTTTTTTTTTTCGCGTTTGATCTCTCACAGCACCGCCCCACGTCGTGAACACGAATCTTAACGATCGAACGATCTTCGAGACGCAGAACCTGAAGTTCGAGGTTACGGCCACCGGTCTGCCGAGACCGGATGCGGCATGGATGAAAGATGGCAAACCACTCCGTTCGGGCGAGAGGATCAGAATCTCGGCTGCCGGCGAGTCTTACGAGATGGAACTCAGCAAGGCCACTCTCGAGGACGAGGGTGTTTACACGTGCATACTAACGAACAAACTCGGCGAAGAGACTGTGGAGGGTTATCTGACCGTCGGTACTGTCGACGATTTACGAAAACCAAGATTCACCGAACCATTAAGCGACGTCGACGTCGCTCTCGAGGCTAACGGCGAGTTCACAACCGTCTTCACGGCCGATCCGGTTCCTGATATTACATGGTTCGTATAAAAGATAGATTCCGTATAATTTTCTTCGTTAGTTAAAAAGAAAAACTAGAAAAGAAGTATGTTGGTAATTTAAAAAAAAAAAAAACTACTTAAAACACACTAACTTATATTTGTAAGTGCAAAAAGTGCGTAAATATTTTTAGGTACTGCAAGGGTCAGGAAATTCCGCCTGACGACTCCAGAATCAAATGGACCGTTAAGAACGCTCCTGCGGCAGACAAACTGACGGAAAGTAAAGTTACGCTAAAAGTTCCGAAATGCACCAAAGAAGATACCGGCGAATACACCCTAAAACTGAGGAACAAATACGGCGAGGCCGAATCTAGCGTAAGCGCAATTTACAATCGTGCACAAAACTACAAAAACAATTGCTTGTAAGAGAATGCAAGATCTGTAAATAATTTTTTTTTTTTTCCAGGCACTCTTGAGTCTTCTATTGAAACCCGAGATCGAGAGCTTCAGAGATTACGGCGCGTCGGTGGACGAACGAGTCGAATGGCAGGCTATCATCAAGGGAAATCCGAAACCCGAAATTACGTGGTCCAAGAGCGGCACGGAGCTGCGAAAGGGCGAAAAATACGACATGGAGGAGGATAAGAGAAATTGCAAATACAAACTTATCATTAAAACTCTCAGTCTGGAAGATAAGGGCACTTACAGAGTCGTGGCGAAGAATTATCTTGGCGAAGCGAGTGCCGAAGCTGCACTCACGCCGCACAGTAAGCGAATCAGAGAACACTTTCATCGGAATATAATCGACAAAAATTAATAAATATTTGGTGAAAAACATCAATTTTTATAATAAAATTTTAATTTAATAATAATTATATTTATATTTTTACTATAAATTTTAATTATTCTTATAATAATTACAATTTATTAAAATTTATTAAATGTTTTTTTTCGCAGCCGAAGTTCCGACGTTCCTTAAAGGACTGTCGAATACGCAGTGCTGCGATCGCGAGGACGTCGAGCTGAAGATTCGCGCGACCGGTGTCCCGAAACCGAGCGTCACGTGGCTGAAGGACGGCGAGATCGTTAAGGAGAACGAACGATATCAGGTGACGACTCACGTGGACGGTATAGTGGACAGCACGTTGTCCGTCAAAACGTTTTCCGCCGACGACGTCGGCAAAGTAACGTGCAAGGCCAGCAATGTCGCCGGCAGTGTCGAGACAACCTGCAAACTGTCCATGACGTCGACCGCGCCCTCGTTCGGCAAGGCGTTGCCGAGATCGGCGGAGGTCGATGAGGGCGAACCGCTGGAGCTGAAGGCCAAAGTGGACGGTAGTCCGATACCCAGCATCGCCTGGTACAAGGACGGCGAAAAGATCACGCCGGACGATCACGTGAAGATCAGCACTCTGCCCGACGGCACTACAAAGCTTACGATCGACGTGGTGAAGCCCACCGATTGCGGCGCCTACAAGCTCGTCGTCAGCAATCCCAGCGGCGAGAATTCATCGTTGTGCGCCGTTGCCGTCGCCCGTAAGTATTTTTTCTTTCACGATCTAATATTTAATAAGTAAATTTTTACTGTACGCTCAATAAAGCTAATATTATATATATATACAGGGTGTCCCAGAATTGCCGTACAATCTCTCGTAGGCAGGTAGAAGGAGTAAAACTGAGTCAAAAAGTCCTGAACCATTTTTTTCTATTATTTACTCCTTCTACCTGCCTACGAGAGATTGTACGGCAATTCTGGGACACCCTGTATATATATTATTTTAATATATTAATTTTTTAATTTTTAGTTGACGTTGATAAGCTCGATATATCTTTCAAATAAAAATTTGTTTTGATTGTAGCCGAAAGAAGAAAGCCGTCGTTCACGAAGCCGCTGGAAGACACGAAGGCTGTGGTCGGACAGCCGTTGAAACTGGAAGCTCAGGTCTTAGCATTCCCAAATCCGCAGGTGCAGTGGTTCAAGGACGGAATACCGTTGAGACACACGAAAGAGATGTATTTCATGAACGAACCGAACGGTTTGATTGGGTTGAGAATGGATTACGTGCGTCCGGAGGATGCGGGAACTTATTCGCTGATCGTATCGAACGCGCTCGGTGAGATCACAGGTACGGCCAAGGTGGAAGTGGAGGAAAGAGAAAGGAGACCGGAGTTCGTTGCGAGTCTTCAGCCGCAAACCGTCGTCAAGGGCTTTCCGGTGAAGATGGAAGTGAAGACCATCGGGAAACCGGCACCCGAGCTCAAGTGGTTGCGAAACGACGAAGAAGTTAGTATATAATATTTCTTTCTTCGACAAAAATAATGCTCTAATTCTAAAATTCTTTTTTTCACACACAGATTGTGCCAGACAACAAGCACGTGAAGATCATCAGCCAACCGGACGGCAGTCAGGTTTTGATTCTCGACAAAGCGACTCCGGAGGACGCTGGCGAGTACCAAGTGGTAGCCGGTAACACGGAAGGCACCGCGTCCTGCAAGGCCAAGCTTGACGTTGCCGGCAAAGTTCGACCGGACACGCCGGAAGAGAAACCGGCGTTCACCAGTCCCATGCGCGACGTGTCCGTCGAAGAAGGCCAGCCATTGGCGCTGGATGTGTCGTTCGTCGGCAATCCACTTCCCGACATCAGCTGGACGAAGGACGGCGAACCAGTCGCGCCGTCGGAACGCGTGATGATGAGCTGCGACGGCAAAAAGGTCGGTTTACAGATCAACCCGAGCGAGCCTAAAGACGCGGGCGTCTACGGCTGCCGGCTGAGCAATCCGCTGGGCGAGGATACCACCAGCGCGAACGCCATCGTTCGCAAGGTCTATCAGCCGCCGACCTTCATGCAAAGATTCACCGACCTGCAGCAGATGCCTACGTTCGACGCCAAGTTCCCGGTGCGCGTCACCGGCATTCCGCATCCGGAAATCACGTGGTACTTCAACGACAAGCCGATTCTGAAGGACAACGACAAGTACAAGATCAAGCGCGACGGCGACGCCTGCTGCTTGTACGTGAAGGACTGCACTTACGACGATTCGGGACGGTACAGGTGTCGAGCGGTTAACAAAGGCGGTGAGGCGGAGTGCGCGGCTAATCTGGCTGTGGTCGATAAAATGTAAGGTTTTTTATATTGGGAAAGTAATATACTTGAAAGTGTAAAAATTATATTTTCTTACACATGTTAACATTCGAAATTTCAGCGAGAAGAAGCAGAAGGCCGAGCCGCCGACGTTCTTAAAGAAAATCGGCGACTGCGAGGTTTACCGTGGCATGCCGGCGAAGTTCACCGCGTGCGTAACGGGTTCCCCGGAACCTGATTTCGAATGGTATCGCAACGGCGACAGACTCTGGCCCTCCGATCGCATCAGGATGGATCAGGAGGGTAGTCTGTTGCGGCTCACAATAGCCAACGTGGACGAGCTGGACGCCGGCAAGTACGAACTGAAGATATCCAATCCTCACGGTCAAGACTCGTGCACTGCCGAAATGGTTTACGAATGTGAGTAAACAAAATACATTTTTTCTTTCTAAGAATATTATATTAAAAATAAGTTGTGCTTTTGAACTCGTGACTCGTTTGAATCGCAGCTTTGGAACCACGCGCCAAGAAACCCCTCGCCGACCAGTACGCGGACTACGACAAGTATCAGAAATCTGGCATTCCTCTGCCGCTTGCGGATCGTCCGATCATCAGCCGCATGATGGACCGTCATCTCACCTTGTCCTGGAAACCGTCCATCCCGATCGGGCCGCGAGTGCCGGTGACGTATCTCGTGGAGATGTGCGAGCTGCCGGATGGCGATTGGTTTACCGCGCGCAGCGGCATCCGCAGCTGCGTCTGCGACATTCGCAATCTTGAACCGTTCCGCGACTACAAATTTCGCATTCGCGTAGAAAATAAATACGGTATCAGCGACCCGTCGCCGTTCGCGCAGACCTATCGCGCTAAGCTCGAGCCGGAACCACCCAAGTTCTTCCCGTATCTGCCGCCTGGCATCGATTTCCGTCCGGAGACCAGTCCCTACTTCCCGAAAGACTTCGACATCGAACGTCCGCCGCACGACGGCTACGCCCAGGCGCCCAGATTTCTGCGGCAAGAGCACGACACCCAGTACGGCGTGAAAAACCACAACTGCAATCTCTTCTGGTTCGTCTACGGCTACCCGAAGCCGAAGATGACGTATTATTTCAACGATCAGCTGATCGAGTCGGGCGGCCGGTACGATCAGAGCTACACCAGGAACGGCCAGGCGACTCTTTTCATCAACAGAATGCTCGAGAGAGATGAGGGTGTTTACGAGGCGGTCGCTACAAATGAACACGGCGAGGCCAGGCAAAGAGTCATTCTGAAGTGCGCTGAATATCCCACGTTCATCGAAAGACCCGATGAGACCATTGTAATGGTGAGAAGAACAGGTCAGCTGACTGCTCGCGTGACCGGCGTACCTTATCCGGAACTCAAGTGGTACAAGGACTGGAAACCTATTGCTTCTTCTTCCAGAATCAGGGTTTGTTTCATTTTTACATTCTAATTAAACGCGTTATGAATTTATTTATGTCACATTAGGGTTTTAGCAGCTTGGTCGATAAACAACTAGCGGGAGTCGCAAAGGATCTTATAGATCTAGGTGACAATAGGATCTTACAAGCCCCCCGCTCCTTGTTATCTATCTATCTATCTATGTCACATTAGACCGGCCCAGTGGTTTCGCGGCCTGAGTGCAGGGGCTGCGAACCTGAAGATCGCGAGTTCGAATCCGCTCGCCACATAAGTATCTTTTTTCCGAGCCGGTCCTCTTCAACCGACTTTTATCGGTTGATCGGCAAAAACCAAATCTCGGATGTCTAATAATTAATGCGGGTGTAATCCCAAATTAATCGGTCTGGAGGTCGCAGCCCCCAGGCATCGGGTCTTGCGAGTAAAGGTCCGCGAGTTCTCGAATCCTTATCTTCGAATTCTGGCCGGTCCCTTCCAGTTTCGGGCACAGCTCCCCAGGGCAGAAATTAATGCCTAGGGAGATCAGTATACCGACTGAGATGCGAACTTGAATCGGGACTCTAGGGCGGGAGTCACAGATCTTCGTAGAAGATTTTAGGGGTGACATTCTAGGGAGTGATTTCACAGCCCACCCGCCCCAAACATATCTATCTATCTATGTCACATTGGTTACATTATAATTTACTTAAATATTCGAACAGATTCAGTTCATCGAGCCCGACATCACCACCCTTATCATTAACGACGCGATCGCGAAGGACGAAGGTCTTTATTCGATCAGCGCGGGCAACGTGGCCGGTTCGATTTCCTGCTCGGTAATGCTGCACGTGGAGGAGAACGAGCACGAGTACGGATACAGAACGTACAAGAAGAAAATGGACGTAAGACCGCGCGACAAACCGTTTAACGATCTCTACGATTTGGGCGACGAACTGGGTCGCGGCACTCAGGGTGTAACTTATCACGCGGTCGAACGGAACACCGGAAGAAATTACGCTTCCAAGATCATGCACGGACGCGGCGAACTCAAACCGTTTATGTACAACGAGATGGAAGCTATGAACAATTTGCATCATCGCAAGCTTTTGCGACTGCACGACGCTTTCGAGACCAACGACTCGGTCACGCTCGTCGTGGAACTGTATCCTTTGTTTTTAATACATTTTTAACGGGTTTATTGATATTGATCTCTTTTGTTTACATTGAAATCAAATTATTCAGCTCAGCTTCCTTGACAATGATGATTTAGAGCGGCCGGTGGCGAATTAGCGGACGCTCTCACGAGGCAAGAATATTACACCGAAGTAGACATTGCTCGCTACATACGTCAGCTGTTGTGGGGATTGGAATACATGCACGACAATCATTACGCGCATCTTGGTCTGACGGTGCGTTATCTAAAAAAAAAAAAAAAAAAACAAATACAAAAAGAAAATTACAAAAATTGTCTCTCTCCTCTTGCTTTGATTAATCTAATTTGGTTTGAGATGTATTCTGTCGTTTTTTTTGGTTTAGCTCGGCGATCTTTTGATCTCCCACGCCGGAGGAGACGAGTTGAAGATCGCCGACTTTGGACTCGCCCGAAAAATTTTGCACACGAAGCTGATGACGTTGGCGTACGGTATGCCGGAATACGTCGCGCCGGAAGTGACCAACAACGAGGGTGTCAGTTATTCCGCCGACATGTGGTCCGTCGGTATCATCACCTACATCTTGCTGTCGGGTATCTCGCCGTTCAGAGGTGCGGACGACAGAGAGACGTTGAGAAAGATCAGAGAAGGTAGATGGGACTTTGACGAACGATGGAAGAACATCTCGAACGAGGCGCAGGACTTTATTCGCAGCCTTTTGGTGTACAACGTGGAGGGAAGACTTGACGTCAAGGCCGCCTTGGCGCATCCGTGGTTCAATTACATCGACAACTCGCCGCCGGAACCTTACAGAATACCTTCCGAAAATCTCAAGAATTATTACAAACTTTATCGGTAATTATCGACGATGCTTTGTTTTTTTTTTTTTTTCTCATAACTTTTGCGTCGTCGCGATTATGTATCCGAGAAAAAAAATAGATTAGATCTAATTTAAATCTAACGAGATAAAAAAAAAATGGAAAAAGAAATCTAATTAGATCTAAATTAAATCTAAATAGATATAAAGTAGATCTAAATAAATATAAAGTAAATTTAAATGGGGTAAAAGACACCCCCAATTACTGTCACCTGAATAATAAACTCTGGCGTTAGCGAATTGTTTTTACTATTTATTTATCAAAAACATGTGTTTTTCTTCTTATCTGGTATTATTCAATGTCTCTAATATAAGAAA